TCCCCCATAGCCTCCGGCTTGATAATCACCGAAACTTCTTCCTCCATAAGCACCACTAGTATAACCAGAACTTCGACCTTTGGAACTGGTATAAATTGGTTCTCCTTCATAAATGGGAGTGCGACAAGTTTGACGACTATTTATAATTCTTCTTTCTCGACTATTTAGCATATATAAATTATTTTTGGATTTCTTCACTTTGTTCTACTATTGTATAAGGCAAAAGAGCCATTTGACGGGCTCTTTTGATAGCCCTGGTTAATTGACGTTGGGTCTTAGTTACTAATTGAGTATGCTGGTGATGATTAATCCGCCCCTGACGATTAATAAACTTACGTAAAGTAGCAATGTCTTTGTAGTCGACATAGGCAATTCCTTGGCTCAGAAAATAGTCCGTTTTGGGACTGATTTTTTTCTTTTTGCCTTTACTCTTATTATTTTTTTTATCCTTATCTGAATGAACTTCTGCCATTTTCTTTACTCTATTTGTTTGTCTGCGGCTGCCTTGTTTTTAGGCTTGCTAAAATCGATTTTGCTAACCTCTTTGACTACCCGAGTTAAATTATCGAGCGGACTGAAAATATTCACCGAATCACTGTCAAGAAAGGTAAACCCATAACAGATAATTGCGGAAAATCAAGAAATTTCTTTTTTATCTCCCCCCCTTTCTTCCTCTATTTTTTGAGTTTGCAAAAAACCTTCGAGAAGAATAATATCACCTCCTTTTAATTTTTTATTAACTTCCGATATTAATTCTTTTTCATTGATCCGGCAAAAGAAAAGCGGTGATTTAACTCCTTCGCGGGGAACGGCTAACTTGAAAGATAGTATTTCCGGATTTCGTTTTTTTTCTGGATCTTGCAAGTCAGTAATTATTTTGCCAAGCAGCCTTACTTGATTAGAACTATCTTGGTCAATTTTCTCAAAATCCAGATCAAGTTTACTAAACTCTACCACTTTTATTATTATTTGTCGCCCAACTTTTTTTTCAATATATTTTTCGCCCGCTTCCCCTTCTCTTTTAATCCTTAAATGTTCATTTCTTAAATAGCCCCGTATTTCTATTACTTCTTCCTGAATAACTTCCCGTTTAATTCTTTCTGCTACTTCCCCCTGGGCAATACACCGCAAAGTAGTTTTTGAACCACTGGGAGTTCAAACCATTACACTAAAACGAATCCACGGTTCTCTACTGTTTTCTTCGGTCGCTTCGGGTTTAGATTGTGCCTTATCCGCCTCACTCATCATCTCCTGGGAAACTGAGTCAGCATCATCAATTTTATTTTCGTGTTGTTCCTTTTTAGTTAGAAACTTACCAATTATTTTAATTTTATTCAGCATCTTTACTTTTCTTTATTAATTTAATTTTATTCCTTTTTTCGTCTTCTAGATTAATTAAGAGGTAGCGATTAAGGAAATCCTTGGGAGCAGCCTGCAAAATACCTTTTTCTAATTCTTTGGCTCGTGGTCTTTCTGAGGTAAAATAAATTAAAATATAATTACTTTCTTTTAATTTACTAATTTTATAAACCGGCTTTCAGTCTTTTACTTCAATTTTTTCAATATTTTCTTTTCCTAAAAATTCTTCCATATTTTTAATCATTTTTTCATATTTTTCTTTATTTTTCTCCTTTTCATTGAGGAGACAAAGTAATTCATAATGACAGTTTGCTTTCTTTTTCGTCATAGAGTATTTATAATTTATTTTACATTCATTAATTTAATTCGCGTTAAACTATTACCTAAACTTATCTAGCAACAAAATTATTAATATATATCTTATTTCGGAATGTCCTCTTCCTCTACTGTATTTACTAAACCGGTTCTCAAAACAAAAAAACAGAGCAAATTAAAACTACTTTTTCTG